CCCCCCCAAAAAAAAAAAATGGTAATGTCATGAATATTTTAATTTTATTTCGAGCAGGGGATTAGCTAGAAATCAGATTTCTTTAAAAATATAATGTAATGTTTCTTATAAAGAGTTATGATTTGTAAGGTTTAGTTTAGACACATGGATTTGGGGCATACATAAAGAAGGGTACATTATCTGTTTCCTCATAGAAAACAAGAAAATAAAGGTCCAATAAAAGTAACATAATCATCACAGTAAGTGCAACTGTTTTTGCTTGTTTCTAAATTTTGTTATGGTGGTTTCAGCAGTTTTAAAGTCTAGATATATTGATATTTTAGCCCCACTACTAAGGTGATAAATAACTTTTCTGAGTATTCTCCCTGATAAGATTATAAGGTCCTTTCTGGCTTGTAGGAAAAACTAGTCTTAGCCTTGTGTGATTGCAGGGAATTGTTTAGGCTTCTGGTTTCAGCTTGTTCTTTGACAGGCTTTTACTTGTTTTCATATATATGCAGTTTAGAATTGGGCAAAGACTGAAAGATACTTCCCTGCAGATCACACACATCTCTATGTTTACAGGTTGGCTTTCCTAAATATATGCCTTTTGCCACAACTTAGTGAAACTATTGAGTTTTGTTCAGTATTCCTTCCCTGTTTTTTTGTGACCTGTAACCTGACTTTAGGCAGGAACTTGAGTTAATCATAGGGCTCATAGTTTTTCTGTTGTATAAGGGAACACAGTCATGTATGGCTGTTGTCTTCTATCTACAAACCATTTTCTCATATATTTTGTTTATTTTCTAGTTGCATTATGACCAGAATAGAAGTTAGTCCAGTAATTCTTGATTGAAAAGGATATGTAGGTGATATTATAGTATTTATGAAGTCTGTGATTGTATTCTGAAAAATGTTATATTTTGTTCTACTAGGCAGTTAAGTTGCTACTGAGTCACCTTGACTATGTAGAGACTTGAATTTAGCTCTCTTTAGGATGGTTCTGTTTAGTTATGTTCTTAAACCTATAGCACCTTTCAGGAACCAGCAGTTTGTGTAATGGCTATGTTGCTAGACTCCCATGTAGTCGACGGCAGTTCAAGTCCTGGACCTGGCTGCTTAAACTCACACTGGGCGTGTGTGCGTGCGTGCCCAAGATCCCAAGAAGAGAATGGAAGAGAAGGGATTGCTTTGTGGCCATTCCCCCTGGGGGGTGATTTATCGCTTTCTATCTCTCTGACTCTCTCTGTCTTTCTGGCGAGCGCACGTACCCTATAGCAAAAACCTCTCCAAAAAAAAAAAAAAATCCTATAGCACCTTTTTTAGTCTTGAGAAATAGTCTTATTCATAAGGTATAGCCCTTTTGGGATTTTGTTTCTGATCTGTCTAATTTGGCAGGACTGAAATTCTGAAAAAAAAAGATATAATATAAGCTGAAGATATATTTTAAATTAAGCAGATATCATTTTGAAATAAGTTTTATATTTTGTTTGACTTTTACTTTTTCAGAAAGAAAATATAATTGTGTTGTAGAAAAAAGGTTTTTCTCTTCTCACAATACAGTAGCATTCACTAAACAATTTACTATATTTAAATAAAAGTTGCGTACCTAATAAGATTGATTTCAGTTATTTATGTTTAGAAATTATAAACTTTACTCCTTTGTTTACAAGTATTATCTAATATATTCTTTAGTAATGCTTATTAATTTTTATGTTGGTCAATTTACAGGTGAATTATGTAACCTCATTACGCTGGATGTAGCTCACAATCAACTTGAACACCTTCCAAAGGAGATTGGAAACTGTACACAGATAACCAACCTTGACTTACAGCACAATGAACTGCTAGATCTCCCAGATACTATAGGTATGAAAGTAAAAAGAAGATATTTATATTTATAGCTACTTGGATATTAAATGGACTATTTTGATCCATATTGGTAATAAGAATTAGAGATTAAAATTCAAAATTATCAATGTAGTGAAACTTCTACAAGATGGTAATTTTAAATCACTGTTTTATTACTTTACAGAGAAAATAATTAGGTTTGAGGAAATGAGCTCAATTTGATTATGAAGAAGACAGAATATTGAGCTACATATATTGGGCCATTGGAAAAGTCATGGCATATTTTTCTGTTTTTCTGTTCAAAAATGCATCATGACTTTTCTGATGACCCAAAATGTGTTATTATAGGTTGAATTGCAAAATGGGTGAGTTTTCTCTTTGCTTACTTACAAATACTGCTCGCTGTTATGTTTAGTATAGTCTCGTTTTTAGTTAAATAAATCACACTGTAAAATAAAACCATTGCTATTTAATTTGGGAGTTGTGTGTGTGTGTGTGTGTGTGTATGTTTAGATTTTTGCCATAGGGTACACATGCTTGCCAGAGAGAGACAGAGAGAAGGAAAGTGAGAAATCACCTTCCGGGGGGATGGCCATGCCATAGTCTCCTCTTTTCTCTCTGGGTTTGGGGCACATGTGCGTGTGCGTACACACACACACACACGCACACACACACATACACCTGGCATGTTTTTCAAGCCACTGGATCCAGAACTCGAACTGCACAGTCAGCAATGTGGGATCCAGTGCCATAACCACTACACCATCTGCAGGCCCTGTGATTTTTTTTTTTTTTTAATCACTGTTGGCCAGAGGGTACATGTATTCCCTAAGAGAGGCAGAGACAGAGAAAGAGGGAAACTGAGAAATCATCCCTATGGGATATGATCACACTGCAATACCTTCACCTCCATTTCTTCCTCCTTTCAGGATTTTAGGCATTCATGTACATACCCTGGATATTTTTTTCAAGCTGATGAGTCTGGGACTGAACTATACAGTGGACCATGTGGGATCCAGCTACCTTAACCATGATGCCACAGGTCCATGATTTAACTTTTTTAAAAAATTGTTTTATTTATTAGTATCATTATTTTTTAAAGTTTGCTATAGGGCTTGTGTGCTTACCAGGGAGAGACAGACAGAAAGAGAGAGGGAAAGTGAGAAAGCGAGCCACCAGGTCTGGGATTTGAACTATGGTTGGCCACTTGGGAGTCCAGTGCCTTAACCACCATGCCACTTGCTGGCCGCAGCCCTGCTATTTAGTTTTTAAAACAGCCAGTGTAGTTTAAATTTTGATCATCTGTAATATTGAGGAAGTAGATATCTTTTGAAGTTTGAAATGTGTTTTCAAGACTGTCAAACTGCAAAAAGTTGATTTAAGCTAACCATGATAGGTTCTATATTCATATAATTCTGTTTATTTTTCCAGTTGCCAATATTTTTTTCTTTCATTTATTTATTTTGCCAATATATTTATACAAACAGTAAAAATAATTTTTTTTTTTGAGAGGCTTTTGCTACAGGGCACGTTCACTCACCAGAAAGACAGAGACAGAAAGCGAGAAATAACCCCGCAAGGGGGATGGCCACGCCACAGTCCCTCCTCCATTCTCCTCTCGGGATCTTGGGCACATACGCACATGCGCCTGGCGTGAATTTAAGCCACCGGGTCCAGGACTTGAACCGTGTTTGACTACATGGGAGTTCAGTGACATAGCCATTAGGCTAACTGCTGGTTCCAGTAAAAAGAATTTTAAAAATTCTGGTACTGTTTGAGTTATTGATATGGTATAAAGATACTATATATTTTTTTTTTCGTAAGTTTGCTATAGGGCACATGTGCTCACCAGAGAGAGGTGGATAGAGATATATAGAGGGTAAGTAAGAAATCATTCCCCAGGAAGGATGACCATCCCACAGTCCCTTCTTCTCTTGGGATTTTGGACAGGCATACACAAGTGATCAGAATGTTTTTCAAGTTGCTGGGCCTGGAATTCAAATCTCTCAGTCAGCCATGTGGGATCTAGCTATAAGACTATGACACCTGCTGACCCCAAGGATAATAAATTATAACTGTACTACATAATTTCAGTAATGAATATTTCAAAGGTATTATTAAATCATTTGAGGCCTCTGATGATGTTATTTTTCTCCAGAAGGATTTTTGTTTGCTCTGCCAGGTAGATAGAGGAACTGCTTTAATCAGTTCATTTTCAAGGCTTGAGATTTTTCTAGGCTGCCAGGTGATTCAAAGACTTGCTTCAAACTGATTGGAAGACTTTTACTTCCAGTTGACCCTGTAGAGTGCAGCTCTGTAGGGTGCAGTGGATGTTGATTACTAGCGTCCCCACCCTTGGCTGGCCCTAGGTTTTAACCCTTGACACAGCATGATTTTTGCCTTTCAGGTGTGTCTTTTTATTAGGGAAGCACACTTTGAGGACAAAATTCTCTCCAGCATTTTGCTTATTTCTGAGTTCCTAGCTTGTTTCTGGCATTGTATTTAATCATTATCTTGTTAGCTCTCTAATTATGGTTTCAGAAGAAGTTTCTGTTTATTATTATTATTATTATTATTATTATTATTATTTTTGGAGAGATTTTTGCTATAGCGTGCATGCACTTGCCAGACAGACAGAGAGACAGAAAGTGAGAAATCACCCCCCAGGGGGGATGGCCACGCCGCAATCCCTTCTCCTCCATTCTCCTCTTGGGATCTTGGGCACGCACGCACATGTGCCCAGCGTGAGTTTAAGCCACCGGGTCTGGGACTCGAACCACAGTCGAGTACGTGGGAGTCCAGTGACACAGCCAGTATGCTAACTGCTGGTCCCAATTTTATTATTATTTTTTAATGTGACAGTTTTTTAAATTACCTACTATTTCTTGCAAGAGAAGCCAATGTTAGGAAGTGTTTTAATAAGTTGAATAGACTGTCTTAGGTTATTTGGGATAACTATTTTTAGAAAAGCAAACTGAAACTTGAATGTAATTCCTAGTCATTACAACCTGTGTCTTTGATTCTTGGCCCATGGCTATTTCTGTTATATTACTATTTGTAGTAGAAATATTATTATTTGTAGTAGAAGAAAATTAAGTATTCTTTTTCTTTCTTTCTTTCTTTTTTTTTTTTTTAAGAGGTTTTGACCTTAATGGCATGTGTGCTTGCTGGAGAAAAAGAGAAAGCCAGAGACAGTGAGAGGGAAAGTGAGAAATCACCCCTGGGGGGAGGGGTGTCCATGCTGTAATCCCTTCTCCTCCATTTTCCTCCTGGGATCTTGGGCATGCACACACATGCTGCTGGAGTCAGTTTCAAGCCAATGGGTTTGGGACTCAAACTGCGGTCAGCCATGTGGGAGTCCAGTGATGTAACCGCTATGACATCTGCTCATCCACAAATTAAATATTCTAGTTTACTTAACTGATTTATGATCTAGATGCTTCTTTAAAAGGCACAGTTTTCTGTAACATATAATTAATTGTTCTGTTAATATCCGTAGTGAATATTGTACCAAATTCTTTATATAAATAAGAGAATCAGATTTCCGGTTTAAGACAGACAATAGGGCAAGAGTACAATTATTTTTTACTTTTTTCTCTTTTAAAAAAATCTAATGAAATAGCCAAAATGAACAAAAAGGAATAGCCCTATAAGAAAAAGAGCATATGGCTGGCACTGTTATTTAGTGTTAAGGGAGCTAGATCCAATGTGGCCAACTACGGTTCAAATCCTGGCCCTGGTCGCTTAAGAAACACACTGGGCACATAAATGTGCTCCAGTCCCAACAGGATACAGAAGTAGAAAAGAGATCGTAGCATGACTGTGCCCCATTAGGGGATGCTGCCTCCCTTACCTTTGCTCTGTTCCCCCCGCCCCGTCTTTGGTGAGCACATGTACCCTCTGGCAATAATAAAAAAAAAAGAAAGAAAGAAAAAGCAAGGAAAAGAAATATGCTGCATCTATAAAACATAATAAAACTGATAAAAAAGGAAGCAAAGAATAAATATAGTCCTTAGAAACATGTTTTGCCAAATAAAATTTAATGGAAAGTTCTATAGAACATAATGATAGAACCAAGACCAAAATGGTGATCTATAGAATAAAGTAGAAGTCTATTAAAGTTTAAAACAAAAAGATAAAAATATATACAAAGTAAGTGGAAAGTTAAGGTTATACAAGTTAAAACTAGAAGTAGTATAAAAAGAATAGAGGTGATACAGTGAAGAAACTAATAAATATATAATTTTATAATGTTTCCTTAAGCATGATAAAAACCCAGGTTAATAAGACTCTTATTGCTTAATGAAAAGTGATACATTTTGATAGTAGTTTTAAAAATCAGATTTATATACTTGTTCTGAATATATTATTTATAATATATATGCAAATATTATAAAACCTGTCTGCCTCATTCCGGTTTCTTTTTTTTGGAGAGGTTTTTGCTATAGGGCGTGTGCACTTGCCAGAAAGACAGAGAGAAAGAAAGTGAGAAATCACTCCCCAGGGGGGATGGCCACGCCACAATCCCTTCTCCTCCATTCTCCTCTTGGGATCTTGGGCACGCATGCACGCACGCGCGCGCGCCTGGCGTGAATTTAAGCCACTGGGTCCAGGACTCAAACCACAGTCAACTACATGGGAGTGCAGCGACATAGCCATTACGTTAACTGCTGGTGTCCCTAGTTCTGATTTCAAGGTAATGCTGATCATATTTAAGTTTTGAATGTTCTCCTTTCTTCAATTTTTGGAACAATTTCTATGTAAATAGCATTATTTCTTGTTTCAATATTTGGTAAAATTCACCAGTGAGAGCATCTGATCAATGAAATGTTTTATTACTAGAGTATTTTAAAAAACAATTTCAGGGGATCAGCAGTTAGTGTAATGGCTATGTTGCTGGACTCCCATGTAGTTGACCGCAGTTTGCGTCCCTGACCTGGTGGCTTAAAACTCTCGCCAGGCACGTGTGCATGTGTGCCCAAGATCCCGAGAGGAGAATACAGGAGAAGGGATTGCAG